GACAAAACAGAAATATAAATCACATTTAACTGGTATCCTTTTCGCGATTTTCGCGCACATATCTAATTCTCCCCGAGAAGAAAAAAGCAATTTCCTACTTTTCACGAGTCATTGGGCGGCCCGTTCCTGCTCTTTGATTCGATAGTATATACCAATTTTTAAACTTATACTTGGGTTCTAAATATGTGGTCAAAAATTTGGACCGCCATATCATATGATGTTTCAGGTACTTTTATTTGAGGAGTTTCATAGCTTATAAGGACTGAATTTGAAAGCATGTAGTTTTGCAGTATATTTATGTAGTATATGCCCTGTATGATTGGTGATGTTTTTAAGCATAGGAATAATACCTTTATCTAGCGTACGTTGCCCAGAACTACCCCCACGTAACTTACCCGCGATTATTCCAAATGTTATGACGAGATAGGTACAACTGGTGCCAAACGTGCTGCAGGTCATCCCCACAGCAAACAGAAACCCGCCTAGAATACATGTCTTGCGGCAGTCAAACTTGTCACAGAGGATGCTGGCAAATACACCTGTATGGAACAGATTAAGAATACAGACAATTGCACACTATGCAATACATAGAGAATGCTGGTAAGTACGCTTTATATGGGATAGATATAGACAGTATTGCCATAATTATGCATTATATAAGATACATGGAGAATGCTGGCAAAATTGCGCCTGTTAGAATACAGAGCACGCAGCATTATCCGCAATAATACGCAGCACAAACAACTCGCCATGCACATTTACGGTTCACAGGTGCGTAATTTGATGAAACGAGTGAGCGAGCCATATGACCATGAGTTAATAGTGCTGAGAGCGTTTGTGTCTGCCATGCCTCATAAAGCCCATTAAAACATGAATCATTTAAAAGATCAATTTTCAGAAAATGAATCACCTGTTAGCATGGAGAGCCCCATGAATACCGAGCCCACCATAGAAGTGATGGCCTCGCCCTCTTTGAACGTCTCTAGCATTGGTAGATACATCACCCCTGGGAAAACCAAGAAAAGAAAAGCATGATTTATACGTTTTTATTTTGTCAACATCCCTAATACGCGGTATTGTTTAAGTTAAAGTTAAGTTTTGGCGTCCTGTATGTCAAACGTCCCTGTATGTGTGAGGGGGGATAGGGGACTGTCAACATCAAAAAGCATTCTAAATTCTTACCGACGCTGTAGGACATGCCATTTGTCAGGAATATAGACAATGACCCTGCTGCCATGACAACCCACGCCCACCCCTTGTCTACGTCATCACAATGGCTAGAATCACGTGCCGTTTTCCTCATTTGCTCTGTGTTGCTCTGTACCGCGTGCGGTAATGACGTCAGAGATGAAGCCAGCACCATCTCTGGAAGACTTATACTGGAGTGGGGCTCAACCTTAGCTTCAGCTTCATCTTCATCTTCACACTTGTCTGAGATCGAAACCATCTTGTTGTTCAAAGAAGTCGTCTCTCAGTTCTCGTGCTGTAATATTGAAAAGGTGTTAAAAATGTGTCATATGTTAATTTCTAACTTCGACTTTCTATTTCACAAATAATCTTCAGTCAGTTTTTTTTTTTTTTGTCTATAATTGTAAGCATGCAGTGATTTTTTTCATGGAATCTTATTGCAGCGAAACGCGCCTGTACGATTTAATTCAACTGTTGTTGAGTGAGGTAACTGACTTTAGACAACTAACGTTTTTAGACGTTTTGTGACACTATGTCCAGAATGACATCATAGTGAAAGGGTCGATTATTATAGGGCGCCTTACAGCAGTCAGGTGTACACGCAAACACACACACACACAGAGAGAGAGAGAGAGAGAGAGAGAGAGAGAGAGAGAGAGAGAGAGAATTGTTTTCGTACTTCTTGACATGACAGTGATATCAAACTGTCTACCAAAAATCTACATTTGCTTTGGTTGCTTTCATTTTTTTAAACTTATATAAACATATAACAAAAATATTATTTTAGTTCCTTACCTAAAAGACAGACGTTCCCTATAAAACACTTTGATTTGAGTCAGCAACATTGGTTTTAACTCTTAAAAGAGTAACTGTCAACTAGAAAAGGAAAAGTACGTTTGACGTTACTATAATTGGATAACAATATGCTTTTCGTCATGCATAAATTTCCAGAATACTCACATGTTACTAATTAGGGGAAGCCAGATAGGCCTACATAAAAAAGTACTCAACACTCAGTAAGACAAATAAAAGCTTCGGCCTTCAAGGTACCAGTGTAGACCTACCGTCTGCGTTTGAAGATGTTTCAAAGACATATTTTTATGTCTGCATATCCTAAAAAAAAGTTCATTATCCTTCAAAATTCAGAAAGTATAAATTATAACAGTACCCATTTTATAGATTTATCTGCTGCCAATTTTTCAATTAGATTTGTCGGTAAAATCCTGGATAGGATACTTTCAAACTGGCAAGATAATATAAACTCGCCTTTTGCCCCATGTCGCCATGCTAATACATGCAGTGGCAGTACTGCTTTATTTCAAAACACTTTTCAGAATGATCCAAAGCAACAGACGGAAATTACATGTATTAGGGTCTACGTGTATAAAAATAACATCTGTGAAACTTTTAGCAAGATTGATCTGAATATGAATCAATGAAAATTATAGGCAACAACAGCTGTACCGTGGTGCCCTCTATACTACGCACACTTTTAACCACAGGGTGCGCTAGTAGCTGTTATACTTCAATTTTGTATGCCATTTCAGAAGCCCACCCAATATACTGTATGTACCACTGGAAATTGAAGTGTATTATATGGATCAGGCCACATCCTCAGGTTATAACGTTACGGCTGCAGACAGATCAATTTTGCGAGTGTCCTCAAAATTATAAGGTCGTTATTGTTCCTTGAATACAGTCTGCAATACGACCCTACCAGATCTGGTGTCGTGCATGCCCGTAAGGCTAGCTGTATGTCGGTTGCCTTTTCATAGGCAGCGACCCATGGCACTGTGCGAGGTGTCACTTGTCACTGGATAGAAACTGTATAGGTAGCCAAGTGGCGAGTAATAGACAGATCACAGCAACAGAAGCGAGACCACTGTTGTTACTGGCACTGAGAATTAACTAATACCAAGATGTAAATATATCAGAGAAATAGGTGTAAATATATCAGTAGATAAATACATTAAACATATAAGACGGCAGATACGGACTTTATGAAAAAACGGAGCCACCCAACAGACGAGAAGAGTTGTGTGTTTCACACCACGTGTAGGACAAAGCTACAATGAACGCCTACCTAACGTACACCTCACATCCACTTTTCCAGTTCACCTACCTACCCCTGTTGCTGCATATAAACGTATCTACAGTGGGCCGGTTTAGGAAAATGAGGGCATCAAAAACGTATTGTACAATTTATGTCATGAAATGTGTTGCGGGTGTCAGTCCAATTTTATTCAATTGTCAACGATATATAACATCAACTGGTAACATCAACTGGTAAC